CTTGTGATTAATTACAAGACCCTCAGCAATCTGCAGTACTGGGGCTAGAGTGTTTTGATGGGACAAACAGTTGGGAAGGTCCACCTGGGTCTAGGACCCACACTGGGTCACCTCGTAGCTCTTTGGGTTGTTGCCTCTTCCTGCTCTAACATTTCTCTCACTCCCAGGACAGGCATAGGGAAAGCCACACTGAGGTAAAATGAGAGATAACAGAAAGACCCATCTTCATGTCCTGAAACCCTTCTTCAATGCTGTATTCAAACGGAGCAGAGACACCCCCACCCCACCCCAACCCCTCCACACAGACATACAGACATTTCCCCCACTGTGGGCACACAGGATCACTCAAGCATGCATATATTTTTGTAGTTTCGGGAAGTCACACTCCTGCCCAAATCACTGATTGATATGCATGACTTATGGTCTCATTCTGCTGAGGTCTGGAAGGCACAGCCCTACCTACCCGGCTCACCTCTGTTCTGCATTAGCAGAAGTGGCCTATCTTCCAGTAGCCTGTTCAGGTGTCTGGTACTCTAACATCCCCTCCCCCGTTCTTGGCCAGTCCCTTGGATTGGTCCACCTGCTACTTAAATGCCCTACCTTTCTCTCTCTTGTCACTCCGGAGGCAGGTGCAGGAGACTCACGAATTCTGGGTGGCCAGAGCTGAGACCCAGGTAAGGTCCCTGTACCCCAAGGCAAGGAGAGTATCTAGGTGAGGAAGGGGGTCCATCCTGCCTCTAACCTTCATGCCACCCTGGTGCCTAAGATGGGGACTCTCACATTTTTTTTATACCATGCCTATCAAAGCAGCTGACACCATACTTGAGGGAGACAAAATCTGTTTAGCTCAAAACCCTTGTGCTCATCTCACTCATCTCTGTGCAGACATTTCAGAGTACAGACACCTATTTTCCTGAAATTGCTGGAACCTAATATGCCAGTGACAAATACTGTTTTCTGGCTTGCTCACTAACTTCCTTATATAGCCTAGGACCACCTGCCTAAGATAGTGCCAACCAGAGTGGGCTAGGCCTCCTGCATCAATTGATAATCAAGACAACTCTCCCAGAGACATGCCCACAGGCTAACCTGATAAAGACAATTACTCAATTTAGATTTTATTCCCCAGGTGATCTAGACTGTGTCAAATTGATAATTAATGCTAACTATGATATGGGGCATGGAGCAAGGGGTATGAGCAACTGAGAAGTCCTGGTCAAGATGTGGTCCAGTTCTTACAGTTGATCTGGACAAAGTTGATCTGCTACCACTTGAAGTGGCCAGGCTGGTTCTCACAAGGTAATAATTTCTGCTCCAGGGTATGGCCCTATCTTAACAGATAATTGCCCTTACCTAGCAGGTGGACCATTCCCTAAGACTTTCCTCTTAAATCCAAAGTAACTTGTGAGCCCAAGTGAGTAATGAAGCATTTTAGCAAAAGCAGTGTCTAAATGCCTGTCACAGGGGCCACCACGGCACCAAATGTGTCCTGCTGGCTATGCTCTTGCTCTGCTCTACCTGCTCGCTTAGTCTGTAAGAGACACTAATGGGGTACTTTTCACGCCCTTGCCCCTCAGCTTCTCTGGCATTTTGGGCCTGAGGAGCTCCACAGCCCATTCTTCCCAGCATTTGTCATCACCCATACCAAGACCACACGTTCAGGACCTTCTGAGTAGTACCAGATGCATGCCTAACCCCACTGTTCTGTGTCTATGCTCCTTCTGCCCCAGGTGGGTGAACTCGGCTCTCTTCCCTCACCCTCCAGGCTCACTGAGGCTGCCTCCTCCTGCATCTGGCTCAGTCCCTTACAGGCTAGGCTTAATATAGTCAAGGTGGCCGTCCCAGGACAGATGAGTGTAAGATGTGTGTGTCTTACAAAGTGTTTTAAATAATTTTCAAATTTTGAACAAGTTGCCAGCATATTAAACTCAAAGAGTTCCAGTTCCTCCTCTTGTTCTTAGAACTATAAACTAGACTTTGCTTCAGAGACTGCAAACACAACAGTGATTAAACCAACTTTGTCAAAAGGACCTGACACTTGGATAGACAACTCCATTTCCCCTGCTTCTCCTGAAAGTGCAAAGGGAGAGCAGAATGGCCCCTTTCCCCACCTGGCAAATTAGGGGTATGCCCTAATGCTCCCCTTCTTCATGTGGGCAGCTTGCCATCTCTTTAAGACACTTGACCATTTAATTCCATCATGGCCAAGGTTCTGTCTTCATGGCCTCTACTTCCTCACTATGTGGAGTTGAAAGGGCAAGCAGGGAGGGAGAAGAAAAAGAGAGAGAACAGAAGCCATGTCGTTTTGATGGCATAGCACCAGAATCACAATGTCATTTATACATGCTCTATTCTTTTTTCTCTATTCTTTAAGGCAATCAACAATCTGCACCTCTCTAGACTTAGGAGTAGGGAGCATAGCACCTGACTCTTGGAAGAAGAAGCATCAGTGATGTTTAAGCACACACAAAGGAGAAGATGACTATTATGTGACCATCTCTGAAAAGCTCAACCTACCTCAGCATCCCTCCTCACCCTCTGTCCCAAGAAGCTAAGAATGAATTCACATAATAACATCTTTTGTGTCCTAGCTCTGTCATTAGCCATTGAGGGACCCTGGTCAGACCATTTTGTGTCCATTTCATCTTATGGTTGTTAGAAGGATTTAATTCAGCTAAGTAGGGAATAAAAGGAACTTAGTATGAGAACTAGTGCAGATAAATTCCTCAGTAAATGGTAGACTCTGTGCCCATCTACTTCTGCCAATTCACCTCTTATAACATAGTTGGGTTCTAGGTTCTGCTTACCTGGATTTGGATTTTTACTTTGCCACTCATGAGCTGTATGATGTTGGGCAGGCCATTTTACCTCCAACACTTCATTTCTCTCCTGAATTCTGTCTTAAAAGGACAGAATTAACAAAATTGAAGGCAAAAAAATCTTCCCAGTTTTAACTACTTGTGCAGAGGAGCTCACTGCCTAGAGGAGTCTCCGTCCACATTCAGTGCCAGGAATGGTCATGGAAAGAAAATAGGAAGCTGCTGCTCGTACAGACGGGGAAACTGAGATTTGACTTATCCACAGAGAGAGAGAATCACAACATGTGAGAATCACATGTTGCTGGAGTTTTTCTTGTCCTGTCAGGTCCTGCAGCTTCAGCCCCAAATGAACACACAGAGACGCTATATTATCTATAAAACTATTGGCTGATGTCTAGGGCTTCTTATTGGCTAGTTCTGTCTTAATCGTGGCCTTGGCTACGTGGAATGCCTAGACCTATTACTCCTTTGACAGCTACATGGTGTCTCCTTGCAGCACCTCTTGCTTACCTTTCCCAGATTCTCCCCGTCTCCTAGTCTTGCCTATCTTCCTGCCTCTATTGGCCAAACAGTGTTTTCCCCCTTTTTTATTTAAAATTTTTAATTACTACTCATATTTACATATTCATCCCCCCATCCCCTCACCCTCCCCTCCTCCCATGTTCCCCACAACACCCCCAGTCCACCCTTCAACTCTTCCCCAGGGATAGTGAGGCTCCCCACCCCCTTCAAAGTCTGTCATATCATTGAGGGGAGTGGCTAGGCCCCCCTTGTTGTATCTGGGCTACAAAAGTATCTCTCCTTAGGGAATGGGTTCCCAAAATCCATTGTGCCCTAGGGATAAAGACTGTCTCCACTGTTAGAGATCCCATAGACTGTCTTGGCCTACTAGCTGCCACCCACATTCAGAGGGCTTGGTTTGGTCCAATGCTGTTTCCCCAGCTTTATGACAAGGGTCTCCATGCTAACAGTAGGTCAGGTCCACTGTTTCTGAGGTCTCTCCAGCCCCGTCTTGGCTCCTTTGTTCATCCCTCCTCCCTCTCCACAACTGAATTCCAGTAGTATGGTTCAGTGCTTAGCTGTGGGTGTCTGTTTCTGCTTCAAACAGCAACAGGATGAAGGCTCCTTCCTCTCCTTGCCCCGGGGCTCCCACTTTGGTCAGGGGTTCTTGTCCCCATCCCCTTCTTGGAGGGACAATGCACTCTTCTCTTGGGGTCCTCCTTGATTCCTAGATCCTCTGGCAGTGTGGATTGTAGAGTAGTGATCCTTTGCTCTATGTCTAAAAATCAAAAATAAGCACGTACATACCATGTTTATCTTTTTGTGATTGGGTTACCTCACTCAGGATGGTTTCTTCTAGTTCCATCCATTTGCTTGTGAATTTCAAGATTCCATTGCCAAACAGTGTTTTATTCGTCAACCAATAAGAGAAACATATATACAGAAGAACATCCCCCATCAATCACACAAGACCCCAGGACTCTGGATTCACACAGATCAGTGTAACCCAGTTTATCAACTGTTGTCTCCACAGGTGCTTGCAGTGAGCATGAGATTCTTGTGGACATTCTTCTTCCTTGGATGCGTACTTAACCAGAGCCATGTCTCATCACAAGATTTCAGCTACGGATTAGGTAAGCTACCCCATCCTTCTTAGTTCTGTCCAAGGAAACCCCCAAAGAGATGAACTGACATTTCTCCATATATCTGACCCATCAGAATAACAAGATCTTCCAGTGTCTCTGCAAACTTCTGGAGGCACTGTACCCTCTCTTAGAGACATCCTGTCCCATTTGGACCACATCTTGTCATCCAGATCACTTATTTAATATAAACTACTTTCTTCCCATTACTGATTGTCTCAGCATAGTCTTCCATTTTTACACCTACTTCCAGGTAGGTCTTTTTAGCCTTCAACTCTAAAAATCTAAGTTTCATGAAACTTTGCCCTAAAGAACAAAAGCCTCAGCTCTGGCAGCCCCAATATTGTAGGTTCATCCACCTGCCACAATATGCTCATTAAAGACATGAATAATGGCTAGCAAAGAAGAAAGAGATTTAGTTGACACATTTCAAAAGGAACAAATAAAGGGGTTTAGTGATCCCCAAGTTCATCTTTAGGGCTCTAACTTTAGAGTTCAGTAGAGTAAGACTGGGGCAAGGAGCAAGAGGTCTGCATCATGAAGACTCAGGGTCAAGGCGTGGTCTAGTTGGTTATGGTCTCCATCTTGGTTCTCCAGGGTGTTCTGAAGTTGTTGTCGGTGTCATTTCTCTAGGAGATTCATCTGGTTCTCACAAGACATCACTTCAGCTCTCTGTGTGACCTCTTACTCATAAACCATTGTTCTCATCTGCAGGGGGTCTGTCTGTCTTTTGAGGCTTGCTCTTCCTAGAATCCACGATCTCCATCAGTTTAAGACAGTGACCTATCCCTGTGCTTTCAACCTTGCAGGGGAAAGAGCTAAGTTAGGAGGACAGATGATTGACATGTCCAGGAGACAGAAAGAAGGAGTCTGAACCAAAGTAAAAAACCCAGATGCCAGATTCTGTGGGCTCAAGTGAAGTGTTCATGCTTTTTAATAAAAGCCGTTGCTAAGTGCCTGTTACAAGAACACAGGCAAGAGCTTAAGCAGCTGCTTGGGGAGCACACACCACAGACTTACAGTTTCTGGCCTTATGACCCACCCTTTGCAAAACAACTCCTACCTTCCAGATCTACAGCCTGGCCCCATTATCTCTGAGGAGTTCTCACCTGGATTTACACTCTTGTTACAGATTTTTGTCTTAGGTCTAATTTTGATGTAATGAACGGAAACTTCATCTGCTAGAAGAAAATACATAGTTAGGAAAAAATATTGATAAAAAGGGAGACAATCTGTCTTATCGATTTCTAAGTCCAGACATCCCCTGGGCCTCCTTAGTTGCTGAAGTCAAGATCTAGAAGTAGGAGGATATAGCTCAGAGCTAGAAATGAGTGATTAGCCAACATTCAGAAAGCCCCGGGTTTCCTCCCCAGCACGGAGATAAAATAATAATGTGTGTGTGTGTGTGTGTGTGTGTGTGTGTGTGTGTGTGTACATCAAGATCAAGGAAGGTGTGAGCAACCAAAGCAGTTACTCCCTCATTTCACTATAAATGACCCAGTGTGGTCCTTATGTATCTGACTTTTCATTGTCTCCTCGGCTCAGGTGCAACACTGAACCTTGGTTTTCCTTTTGCAAGGAACCTGGCTCCAGGGTATGGCCATGACTGGCTCTGAGTTGAACACCTAATTTCCTGACCTCAATGGGAGTTTGTACCCCAGGACTCAACCATATGTCTCTGTCTCAGCAGACATAAAAAATGGAAACAGTGATGCATTGAATCCAGAGCTTCTAAGTGATGGTGAAGGTGGATACATTAATTTTGGAGATGGCAGTGAAAAACTGGCTGCTATGCCTGTTACTTCATCTATAAAGGTCCCTGAAGTCAAGCAGGACATCATGGATGAACTTGATCAACTCAAGATGAATGCTTCAGACTCCCTGGACACAAGTGACATCACCAGCGGAGTATCCTCTGGGCAGCTGGGTCAAAGAGTATAAACAGTCCTGGCCACCATGGTGCTCAAGCGAGCCCAGCCCTTCAGTGGTGGGTGTCATGAATTTTACAGGCAATGGCTGTGCTTAGGATGCTCCTCAAGGTCTGAGGTGGCATCTCTGGTCTGTCTGGGGCTGAGTCATCTGGTGACCCAGGTCAATCTGGAGAAGGATCAATAAATAGTTAGCCTGAGGCTGGGTCATCTGGTGATGTGGATCAGTCTGAGCAGTTTGGACAAATGGCCCAACTGGTGATGGGTCATGCTGGTTGTTGTGGTAAAGGTGATATTGGATCAATTTTCTGGAAGGTTTGGTCAGTCTTGGAGCAGGACCAATAAATATCCACTGTGAATTTAGGTCATCTAATGGTTTAGATGGAGAGTTAAGGGCTGGTCAGTTTGGAGTTGGGTTTTCTGGGGATTTAGTCAGTCTGGAACAGGATTAATGGGAAGCCTACCTGGATTTTAGTTAATCCAATGGTATTGCCATTCTTGACCATGACCATTTAGTAGTCATGGTTAGTTTGGGCTTAGGTTATCTTTTGACTCTGGTCCCTCTGGTTCTAGGTTCCATAGTGATTATATGGAATCTAAGGCAGGGTCATCCTTGTGTTAGACATTAAAGCAGGTTCATTGAAAGGTGCTGACAGGAAAGTTGCTGATAAGGAGAGTTACAGGCTCATCACCATAGGCAGTCATGATAAGGCCCTGTTGTGGAAGATCATTTTGGAGAGAGATATTATTATGGCCATAGGCAGCCATAATTTGGCTTTGAAGGGAGAGAAGGCTTTTCCTTCAAAATGATAAGACAAAAGTGTTTTCTGACTATTATAGGTTTTCAAGAGTAGGTGGGACAATTCCATAATATGTGATCTAGCCTGGCCTGTCTCTGTGCTGGAGTCTGGGAAGTATTGATAAAAGTAAAGTTATAATTCAAGATTGTCGTTGGTCTAGATATCAGGGTGTGTGGGTGGGCTCACAGTTGTGTGAGGAAAAGAGCTGAATGTATAAGAGGTTCAGTATGCTTTCTTATGACCTCTGTCTGGAGAGATCTGTAACCTACCACCTTGGATCAAGGCTTGGTGTCCCTAACTGCTGTGTTCTCAGTGGGGAAGTACCACCTGAAGGTCTTGCTCACATGGTGACTCCAGTGGATTATGCAGAGACCTCCACCAGTTCACCACAGTTAATGCGAAGGCACCATAAAGAGGTCTGGCAACTTCCTTAACCAATAGCTGTCAACACCTGTTCTCAGCCAAGACATCATGGGTCAGGAGGCACTGTTGAGCACTGTTATTCTCAACAGCCAGAATCTCATCACTGAGAGAGAAAAGCTACAGATGCTTCTCCTGGGTGGCAGTCTATCGTTTGGTATCAAAAATGAACTCGTGGAGGCCGCAGGGACCAAGGCTGTAGAAGGCCTGGTTTGCAAGGGCTCCCTGGGTGGCCTTTGTGGCCACGGGAGTCTCTCTGGCATGAATGATGTTCTGAAGAACATGAATTCTGGGAACCTCAGTAGCTGGTAAGTTTGATTTCTTTAACAATAAACAATTCTCTAAAACATTGATCAGAGAAGGTTCTAGGTACTGTAGGGGAAGCTGTAGCCACGCCTACTTAGGGGCTGGCTACAGGTATGCCTGACCACGCCCTCATAGGCATGGCTACAGCTTCCCCTACAAGGTACCTGAAAGGCATCTGTTTGACTCTGGTTAAAAAGTTGGTACTGAGAAGTCACCACTTTCTCTACCAAAGCTGCAGTTACTGCTAAGTGTTTCTCTAACATGGTCCATCCCTTGGGTTTATGCGGGCTTGAATGAGCTCTGCTATATTATAAGTCATATCAGGAAAGCATATTGTAGATGCTATGATCACGTATCCCTTAGTTATCATCTCTCCCCCAATGAGTAAAAGAACCCCTTTGTTCCAAGCTAATCCTATAGTTACCAGCTGAGGCTTTCAATATGGTATCTGTGTTTTCACTTACCATCTTAATCAACTGCAAAGTCAGTTACTGGCTGATGCTTTCCAGGTCTAGGATTTATAGAAATGGGACTCACAACAGAAATCAAGGTTAAGGAGGGACAGGCATAGGACAGAATGAAGGGAAGCCACTGCAGCCTGAGTAGAGAGCCAAGGAGACCAAATTGGCTTATCCGCTTTACCTCACTCTTCCTCTTCTGTAGGCTCAATGTCACTCGCTTCGATATTGTCCAGTTGTCATGGAAGGTCTTTGCTGCATCCAGTCTTGAAATTAAATTCCAGACAAAGCTGACTATCAACTTTTCAGGGTGAGCAATATGAGGAATGTTTTGGCTTGAATCTGAACTATCCTCTTCAGGCTCATTCATTAAACTCTGGTGCTGTTTGGGGTTGCTGTGGAGCCTTTGGGAGACTTGGATGACTCAAGTGTGTCACTAGAATCAGGCCTTGGAAGATCATAGCTTGTCCTCAAGCTCCAGCTGCCTCAGTTTCCTTCTCTGCCTTGATGTGAGCAGGTGCCCTTCACCATATGATCCCATTGCCATGCCTTCCCCAGCAGATGGATTAAAATGAAATGTTTCTGAAATTGTGAGATCAAAATAACCATTTTTCCATCTTAAGCTGTTTCTGGTGGCATTTGATCCACAGTGATTCGAAGTAACCAATATGGTGAGCAGAGGAAATTCCTAGAGCGAGTGAGTGGTTTTATTGGTGATTTTTTCCTTTCAACAGACAAGATGGCCTTTTGTTTTTCTTAGCATTTTCCCAAGATCTTGATACTGTCTGCATAAGTATACAATTTCTTAGGATGGCAGTGATGGAAGGACAGAAATGGAAGTCAACGCTTTTGCTTTTCTGCTGTGTTCTGAGGCTGTGTTGAAACAAACTTGGGGAGAAGATTAAAATACAAAAGAAAACAGCCACCAATCTTACAGCAGAGAGGTAGTGAATGGTCTTTAAGATCTCAGTTGGTGTCTTTTCAGTTCTTTCCCCACAACCATTCTGAAGGCAATAAATGTTCAATGCTACATATGGTACTTGTGAGCTATCCTGTGGCTAAACATCAGGATTGTCCACTATGTCACCCTTTCAAATACCCCGTGATTGATACAAGTAATGAATCTGCCATACTCTGATTATTAGAAAGTCCATGAGCACAATTCATAGCTTGCTATTTATTTGTTTATCTATCTATCTATCTATCTATCTATCTATCTATCTATCTATCTATCTATCTATCTGCTGTGCTGGGTGTTAAATACAGGACCTCATATGTACCAGACAGAAATTCAATTACTGAGCTACATCACCACTGTGTAATGTATAGCCTTTGATAAACACTGCTAAATTACTTTACAGAGACCTGGCATTGGTGATAAAATGTATCTAACACTTTTGAGTGCTTCACACAGTCCAGTTGTTCCTTTGAGTGTTCTCCTTAGTCCTTATTGTAGGCTTCTAAGGGAAGGAGCTATTATATCCATTTTACTGAACAGTCGGCAGAACCTCAGGGAAATTCAATCAGATTACATAACGTATGAAGACAGGGAAAGAGCTCAGTTGGAAAAGTGCCTGTGACACAAACTTGATGACATGAGTTCAGATCTGGTTCAGGATCTGTGCCTGTCACCCCAGTGTTGGTGAGGACAGAGGGATCCCTGAAGCTCACTGGCTGGGGGACATATCCAAGTAGATGAACTTCAGGCATATACCATCACACACACACACACACACACACACACACACACACACTGCACACGGGTGGCTGTGGGCATACTATAACTCCAGGAGGAGATACTAATAGTGGCACTGTGCACGAGCTCCAGGTGGAAAGGGCAGGCATTAGCCTTTCACTACCACTTTTTATCTTTGGGCCTTGAGCTGTGAATAAGCATTACACATTCCAATAAACTGTTTTATTGAATTTATATATACACATAAAACAAATTAAGAGTATATCTGGGAAATCAGGAATATTTTTTGAAGTATGCGTATCAGTTACCTCTCACCCACACTGTTTGCAAGTTACAGTGAAACCTTCAGAGTGTTTGCAGACATACATGCATTCAACTTCTAATAGCCCTTTTCCATGCACCCAGGATGCTTTCGTTTCTCAGTGGCTCCACAGTGGATGTGAACATCACGGTCCCCTTGGATTTGCACCAGACTGAGCCTGGCCAACTCTCATTTTCCGTGAAGAGCTGCCAGGCTGTATTCACTGGGATCCAAGTGAATACAGGGTAGGTACAAACCCAGGAGAACTGGGCACCACCAAACTGGGCATGGGATGGTGTTATGCGTAGAGCAGTTACTAGTCTCCTTGAGATCTGAGCAGAATGCCAGCAAGCTATGCCACTAGTATTCCCTATTTTAATGCCCTGTCTAGTCAAGCTTCTGCTTTAAGGAGCTTAGAATCCCAAGAAGAAGGGGATTCATTCGGGCCAGAAGCACAGACCTCTATGGCAGCACCCACTTGTGGAGACTATTGGGCGCTCTTTTTTTCCAAGCTCTCATGGAGAGATCCTGGGTAGGAGCTTTGTCTCATCACTTTTCATGCTGGCCTGACATCTCCTGATATACCTGCATGAGCTCTTTAGGGAAGAAGTTGGCTTATAGTCATCATTCATTCATCCAGCACATATTGAGCTAATAGATACTCTTGTTCCTGGAGACACTGGGGAGCAAGACCATGAGAGATATGCGAGTGAAAATGAAGGGATAATGAATGGAAAGCTGGTTTGATGAGAAGTGGATAGATGGATGGATGGCTGGCTGGATGGCTGGATGGCTGGATGGAAGATAAGTGAGTGCATACATGCATGGATGGATTCAGGGATAGATTAAAGAAATAGTAGAAAATGGCATATTAAAAAGACATTAGTGGTCTACCTGAGAGGTCTAAGCTAGGTTTACTGGGGTGGGGGGTCCTGAAAAATACACACTAGCTTAATTTAACTTAGTGGTTCTCAACTTTCCTAATGCTTTGACCCTTTAATACAATTCCTCATGTTGTGGTGACCCCCAACCATAAAATTCTTTTTTATTACTACTTCATAACTGTAATTTTGCTACTGTTATGAATCATAATGTAAATCTCTGATATGCAACCCCTGTGAAAAAAATTGTTCAACTGCCAAAGGAGTCACAGCATGCAGGTTGAGAACCACTGATTTAACAACAGAAGATATAATCATTATTCAGATTGTATAGCAGAGTACTTCAAGGCTCTTAGAGGTGATGATCATTGCCAATGATTTCTTTTCCCTCCTCAGCACGTTCTCCAGAATGATGGAATCGATGGCTAAATGGTCCTTGAACATTTCCTTGCCCAATATAGTAAGTCTGACAACATGGCCCTGGCAGACCCTGAACATGAGTTGTGGAGAAGGCTCTGTTGCTAGGGGAACAGAGGACTAGCCCATGTGGGCAGAGGACAGCTTCATCTTTGAGCTGTGCAGAGTCTCTTTCCTGTCCTTTGTCAAGGCCCCTGCTTCTGAAGAAGGGACAGAGAAAAATACAGTGGTTGAGTGATGACTCTAACAGGCAGTTTAGGCCTGTGTAATAGGGATATTGTGATGTGTTTACTATAGAGTTTCTCCATCTTATGTGAAAGACTTGTCCTGCAACGTGTCTTAGATTACAAAGGATTCAGCATGTATATACTGGTCAGGTATGTACAAATACCCTCTTAGCATGGCCTCTGATCTTTTGTATTGCAGTTGTGCCCAGTGGTCCGATTCTGGTTCTACATCATCAACCAACAATTGACCGTTCTGAAAAGTAAGTAGAGCTGTTGCCTGAGCACTGCTTTGTTGTATCAACTGCCTGCAGTAGCCACCATCCCTACTCCTACACAGCTGCCAGAAAGACCTTTATGAGTCAAACTCAGATTCTCAATTTCCTGGGGGATCAGTTGCAGACCTCAGGGCATGTTGTCAAGGTATTTCCTGAAGCTAAGTCCCCAGTGTTCTCATCCTCCTTTAGTGGAGTACCAAAGTCACCTCCAAATACTCCACAAGGTTTGGTGACATATGGCTGAGCTCTGCAGGACTTCCCACTCCAGCTATCTATGTCTGAATATTCCTTCATCATCCAGTATAATCACCATGTTTGGTTCATCTCAAAGTCTTTGAAGCTCTCTCTCTCAGAAGAGCCTCCTCCTTAGGACCCCTACAGCCCTTGGGCCCTTCCCTGACCACTCACTGTATTGTGTGAAATGTTTACTTGCTGGCTGCCTCTTATAGTACCCCGAAGCTCCTTAAGGGGGACTCCATTGTATTTGCCCTCCCATTTGCCTCACAGTCCATATTGGGTGCAGAGTAGACCTCCCCCCAAAAAACTCTACTGGTCTATGAAATGGAAAGGGAAGGAAGGCATGTGGTAGACATGAGTGAGTGGGAAAGCAAAAATGTGGAATGAGAGATAGAAAATGCTGGGAAGATGATGGAGGAGTGATGGACACTTAGGAGGAGAGGGTGGGGGTTGAAGTGGATAGTAGAAGTCAGAAGTGATAGAGGGATATAAAAGATAGACAAATAGGAATGGAGGAAAAAGGAAACAAAAGAATTTGAGGAAAGGAGGAAGGAAGGATTGATGGACAAAGAATGACAGTTGCTGTGTGCATGTGTTATATATCGATGATGGATTAGTGATGATTGGAAAGAAGGGTCTTTTAGCAGCTGTGTAGGAAGACAAGAGGAGGTGAGATGGGCTATGACTAAGTCAAGGGAAAAGTAAACTACTTAGATGGATAAAGGGAGGAGGAAAAATGTGCAGATGGAAGGGAGATGGCAAGTACTGTAATAGGGAAGGAAGGAGTCTGGTGAGCCTGGAAAAGGAGAGGTCTACTTTGTAGGAGAGGTAGGTTGCCATTTATAGCCTGAGAGCACTCACTTCTCTTACTGGATGATAGTGGTATTCTGTGTCCTCACTCCATACTTAACAGTTGGGGAATAATCTCTCGTCTAGATACACCTGCTTGTGGCAGGAATGAGCAATGGAGTTTTATGAGCCCCTGTTTCCATCAGTTGAATCTATCCTGTCTTCCCTGTTCTTTCCATTGTTTCTTTTCTCTTTCTCTCCATCAGATATTGCCTCACTTGGGATGTCAGGGAACAGCAACTTGCCCATTACCCCACAGCCCATGTTGTATGAACGCTCTTATCACATGGACCTTAAGGTAAGAATATCCAGGTCCTCTTGAGGACTTAGAGGAGCCAGGTCTCTCCACATGAGGTCTCTTTGGTTGGGATATGAGCTTTGACTTTGGATAACTGTGTAGCCCCATGCCCTCACCTCTGAAATCCAGTTTTCTTGTGTCAAGTAGGGTGATTTTCATAGTCACACATAGTTATCACCGGATGTCTCTTCCAGGATACATGTTTCCCTATGTCATAGCATACCTGGAATTAATGTCCTCTATTCAATGGGATAGCATAGTTTAACTGGAAAGTTTTACAATGTCTTATTGGTCCATTAAGTAACATGTACTTGAATTGATAGTGTTCAGTACTGTGAATATGATTTTCACAGTAGGAACTCAGGAAACTATTGGCTTATTCTGTTTTGCCCTTGATTTAAAAAAGATTTAAACAACCAGTCAAGTTTATTGATTGGCGTCTTCATACACAGAGCCTTCAGGGTGCTGGGGCATTCGTCCTGATGGCCTTGGCTATATCCTCCTCACTAGGTCTTTTCAGGCTGGGACATGGCCAGGAACTTGGGGAAGTTCCTGGATTCTTCCACAAGGTGGGATCTTGGGATCAATAGTCCACTGCCTCTCAGTCTTCAGCTATCCAAGGTCAGAGTCTGGAGTTCAGAATTTAGGAACAGTGTTGTGATAGTTCACTGTTTGACCTGGGCAAAGTCATTCCCATCTCCAAGCCTCATTTCCTTGTCTTTTATCCTCATGTTTCCAAGTTGTTATCAGGTTTACATGGAACACAGATCCTGGAATGTAGTCAGTACATACTTACTGTGAGGTTTTTGGTTTTGTTTTGTTTTTCCAGGACAAAAGCTTCCCAGCCTCTTTCATCAATTGGCTGATTAAAAGTAAGTATTCTTTCTCATACCCACCCCAGAATTCCCCAATCTTACCTCCCTCTTTAGTGTTGAATATTCTGTGGGAAGAATACTGAAAACAGATATAAAATCATGGAGTCACAGAACCAGTGCCTGGATCAACCTTACTGAAGCTGGGATCCTGGAAAGTCAGATCTATGGTATTACAGTGGGGTTCCGAGATAGCCCATTCTAGAGGGGTTAGGTTATAAGTGGGTCTCTAGGACAGTTCACTGATCTATGTTAAAGAGAAATTCTTGCAGTTGTCCAGTCCTAGGTAGTTGGTGCTTTAGCCAGGTTTCTGAGTTATCTTATACTTCAGTCATTAAGGTTTCTATGATTGCAATATATCCTCTGCAGTGACCAATGTTACAGTGAGGTTCTTGAGATATCTCACTCCATAGCAATTATGATTACAATACCACTCTGAGGCTTTCCTATTCACAGTGATTCTTGTTATAGAGGAATTCCAGAAGTAGTTTTTTCCCCATAGTGTTAAGTGCTAGGATGGAGTTCCTGGGATAGTCCACTTCATAGAACAGAAAGAACCTGAGCTGGGCATATAGGGATAGGCTCAAGTCCCAGTTCAGCCAATACGGTAGTTACTTTTCTTAATGTTGTGATCAAATACCTGACAAGAAGCAAGGGTTTATTTTTGTTTGAGGGTACAATCCATTACAGTGGGGAAGGCATGGCAGCGAGAGCATGGCGTCATATTGTGTCTGTAATCGGGAAGCATGGGTGAGTGCTAGTGTTTCTCTTACTTTATCCTGAATAAGTCTTGGATCTCAGCCGTGGAACAATGCTCAACACACTCGGGGTGGGTCTTCACATCTCCATCAATTCAACATATAATCTACCTACTCAATAGGCCCAGAAATGTCTCTAGACTGTCATGTTGATGATTGGTATTCATCATCACAGCCACTGACTTCTTGTATCCCTTCAATGAGTCCTGCTCTCCATCTCTCTGGGCTTCATTTCCCATCTGTTTGGAACTCTCTGTCTCCTTGATGACTTTTAACTAATTGAATGTATTGGGACATGGAGAGGGGAACAAGATTAGAGACCAGAGGAGTCTCCAGAAAAATACAACCTGTGATAAGTCCTCCTCATGGTGACCAGTGTCTTCTAAGGTCTGAAATCCCGATTTATGTCTTCTAATCTCTTTGGTGTGAGATGCAGATGCTCAATGACCCCCATTACCTGTAGGATGTTGATGGAATCAGGAAGGACTACAATAAGGATGCTCAAATAACTGAGGGTCACCATGGAACTCTCTGACCCCAGGTTTGGTGGCTCTGGCCTTGATCTTCTCTCCAGCAATTATCCACAGCAACCCCTATCAGTCTTTTCTCTAGAGCTTGGATTTTTACTCACTGAAGCTGACCAGGGAAAAGCATCCACAAACATGTATGTCACCATGGGACTGCTTCAGGAGGTCCCATCTGTAAGAACCAACTGAAGGCATGTGCTTGAGAAGGGATAGGACAGTAAATGGCCTTTCAATTCAGACAGTGGGCACAACTTACAGTCCTGACAACTCTTGGGACCATCTGAAGATGGTGCTGGATCCATCAAGACAAATGGCATTCCAGTAAGATGTGTCAACCAAGAGGTGGGCCCCATGTTTTAAACAGATGCTGGGGGAAATGCCACACAGAGCCCTGACCTTGAGCCCCGATTAGTTGTGCCTCTGCACCCGACTTTCCTCTCTGGTGTGAGAAATATACTTCAAAGCTATTCCCCCTGTGTATAAGGTTCACTTTGGAGTCTGCCTCGGGACAGGTAGAAGGCCAAGATAATGTGCATCTTTGCTATTGTTCCTGTTGTTGTGAAAAAACATCCTGACAAATGTAACTTAAGGGAGAAAGGGTTCAAATTTCACAGTGATCTATCATGATGGAGAGTCACAGAAGCCACAGCCTGTTACATTATATCCACTCTCTAGAAGCACGGTGATTAATAGGTGATGGTGCTTTTTATGGCTAGCCTTTTTATGTAGCCTAGGGAATGGTGCCACCCATGGTAATGGGGGTGTCCCTCTCACTTCAATTAACAATCAAGACAACCCATACAGACAGGAATAGGCTGGGTGGTCGTAAATTCTGTTGAGTTGACAGTTAACACTATCATAACACTTTTTGAATCCAGGAAGTTCAAAGTCCTGACGTCAAAGGCTGAAGAGTCCCAAGACCTGCATGATGGTCAGCCATGAGTAGGCATGCTAGGCCTAAGGTTCTATATTACTAATGCCTGAGAATAAGGGTAGCACCTGCCTCATTGGGTGACCATGAAAAAAAATGCAGGACAAATCTAAGTTCAGATCTTGGGTTGTGCAGCAAACTGCTTCTAGAGCCAGATTGTCTAACCCGCTAGGAAAGGGAAGGGATGAAGCAAAGGTGAGAAAGGGGTGTCTCAGAGGCCGAGAGGGGAGGCCTCAGAGGTTCAGATGGGGAGCCTTGGGGGCTGTGAGACCATGAACCTCTCGCCTACTCCTCTCTGAAGGCCCCGAATGAGCAGAGACTGGACAGTGCATGCATATCAGCTGCCTTTTTTTTTTTTTTTTCCCTGACCAAGAAGAGCAAGGGTGTCTAGCTTCCTGGACTGGCCAGGGCTGGCCAGTTCCCAGATAGGCCACTAGGGGGAAGTCATAATACTGCTAACACACGTTTCTCAGATTACAACTAAATCTGTGGACTGGAGTCAGAATTCCTAGTTTCCAATCCCAGTTCTTCAGAGAGTAGAATATTTAACCTCACTGTGCCTCATTCTCTCCACTGAGGACTGACAATAGAAATGATTCATTCACTTTTACTCTCAGCAGCCGGATCATTTTTTATTAGCATATACTGATTGTACAATGTGGAGGTTTCACAACAACAACCCCATTCAGCTGCTTTGACCATGTTACCCCCCCCACCCCGCTGTCCTTTCCTTCACCTCCCACCGTCCCATATCTTCCCCTTTTTACTTTTATATCACATACATGGATACCCACATTTTCCAACAGATTAAATATTATTAAGACTAATTTATCATGGGATAATGGAAAATAGAAAAGCATTCACACAGCAAAGGAAAAGATCACCAGAGTGAAGTGACAACAGACAGTATGGGAGAGTATCTTTGCCAGCAATGCCTCCAACAAAGGATTAATGTTGAGAATGTAGAAAGAACTAACAAAAAATAATCCTTCCTCCAAAAAAATCTTTCAGTCACTAAATGAGCAAAATTATTGAATGAGCAGTTCTCAAAAGAAGAAATACAGAGGGGGCTCCTTTAGGGTGGACCTGGTACCTTATTTAAAGAGAGGCTGCTGAGGACACTCCCATACTCATCTGAGAAGAACGACCACGTTAGCTGAATGGTGTGAAGCAGGATGGTTCAGTGGGCTGTGGAAGACAGAGAGAAACACCCCACGTAGCAAACAGATGGATGACAGGGATTGCCATGAGGTTGATAGGTTTCCAATTTGATGGGCAGCCAGATAGGGAGACAGACACACCCACACAGTAGGAAGTGAAAGAGAAGGAGTAGGACAAGGCCAGCGCAAGCAGGAAGTGTCTACTAACAAGTGAACCTACCACCTCACTTGAATATGTTCTCAATTAGAAATGATGGTTGGCTCTACCAGGACCTCACCACTACAGGACAGTTCCTTTCTCTGTCCTATTATTTTTTCTCCTTCCCCTTTGATTGGACAGAAAGAAACTGCTTTGTGTGCACAATTATATTGTTCTTTAAAAAAACCACCTAAACTAAATGGCCAGTGTTGTTTCTGTTGATATTAAATGGAGATAGCTTGGGGATGTTCTGGTTCTGTGGAAACCCTCTTCTTTGTTAGTGGCACACCCCTTCACCTTGTAGCCTTTAGATTTCAGTAAGTGGTTCTGTTCTCATTGTCTCAACAACAACAAGACCCAACAGCATAATAACCCTTGCATACTCTGATTGGAGAACTTTAGTGTGATTTATTTAGTACCGTAAAAGGACAGTTTTCTAGCTTTTGCTGTACACAGCTGTTACATGTGGGGTAATGCATCTTTAAGTAGGAGTAAAGTTAAAAAATGAGTCTTAGATAGTTTCCCCTTCAAACCAAGTGTCTTGTTGTTTAAATAATTTTATTTTGTTTAAAATGGAAGAAAAGTAAGTACAAATGACCAATAAATATTTGGAGGAAAATGTTTAGTACAGTTAACTGTCAGAGAAATGATCAAATCAAAATTATGCCAAGGCTGCAACACACCCCAGTCAGATAGCTATGATCAAGAAAATAAATAACAACAAATGGTAGCAAAGAAGTACTGAAAGCAGAACTGTCTCTCTCTCTCTCTCTCTCTCTCTCTCTCTCTCTCTCCATATATATATATATATGTATATATACAATTTCAAATAATGTGTTGTCAAAAATTAATTGGCTATAACAGTGTGGGTTTGTGTCTTCATCATCTATTCTATTCCATTGGTCTATATTTCCGGTTTTATGTCAGTATCATGTTTTTGTTACTATGGTTCTATTACGTAGTTTGAGGTCAGATACTTTGATACCTCCAGAATTGTTTTTTACTCATGATATGTTGGCCATGAGTCATTTTATTCAGTACTTAAAGCTACTCCAGCAGGTAGCTGTTACTATTCTTAGATTACAAATCGGGAAACCAAGGCTCAGAGAGATGAACTGCCCTATCCATTTCCACACAGCCAGAAGGAAGGAGAACTGAGGCTCAAACCCAGGTCTTCTTCCGAAGGCAGAAGCTAGAGGAAGTGTGAAGGATGTCCTGTTGTGTCCTAGCAGAGTGTCCCATGTTGCTTTGGCTTCAGTTCCCCCACTACTGTCTCAATGGTTTGGGTATAAAGTGGGACTCCTTTATCATTCTCTGGCTCTCTGACTCTGCTCTGAGGAAAACGCACTGTGACAGCCAAGAGGCCATACCCTGAGGTCTGTGCACTGAAGGGGTAACCTAAGTATCTGGGTTCTCTACACCAAAATGAAGTTGACAAAGCTGAGGCTCTTTTGAGGATAGCAGAGCCATGCTTGGTAAGCAGACAACAGCATTTTTTTTCAACCTTCTTT